AAGTATTGCAATCACTTGCAATGTTCATGGTCCGTGGAACATATTCTGGTTTGCAAAAAAAAAAGAGACCAATAGTAGAAACATTGTTGTTTCAGAGATAAAGCACTCAGGTGAAGCGAGACATTGGGTGACAGTTGATTGGGATATCAATCTTTTGGGTCAGATTATCAGATAAAACTCACAGACATAAGAATGCTCCAGCAGAAATGTAAAATGTTGTGGCACGTACCCCATAAGTGGTTTCATAAATATAACGTCATGTTACCACATTTTGTTTCCCAAAAAGGAAAAAAAACAGTATTATTTCCCACTAGTCATTGGCCAACATATACTACCCAGTTAGCAAACATTATTTTGATTATCATAGTTTTATTACATTATAAATTAAATTAAAATAGTGTTAAAATAACATATATTATATTCCACTTTGAAAGAAGAATTGAAAAAATAACTATATGCATATGCTTTTTCATAGAAAATTATCAAATTCCTTAGAGGGAATTATAAGATCTAAATAACACAACAAATCTCCACTACAAAAGGTTAAATGTTAATGCTGATCAATTGGCCACCTCCTATTGGCTAAAAGCAAACATTAACATCATTACTCATGGTTATTTGAGGCCAGGCGGGTGCTTCAGAAAAACCCAGTGAAGAATCTTGTCGGCTGGAATGTTGCTATTGCAGCAATTGCCGCGGCTGGGGATCTGGAGGAGGCATGGTGATTGTTTGATGGGATGGCTTTCTACAGTCTCGTGTCATGGATAATGATGATCACTGCCTATGCAGATTGCAGAATGGTTGATAAAATGAAAAATTGTTTTCTTGCACTAGCACATAGAGACATCATCTGCTGGAACATGATGCTTTTGTGCTATGCCCAAAACTGGCATCTGGAGGAAGCCAGTGCCCTTTTCAATGAGATGCCAGAGCGAGATGTTACGTCATATACAACAATGATATCAGTTTTGGCATCAAGAAATGATTTAGAAAATGTGAAGGATCTGTTTGATTCTATGCCATTACGAACTATAGCCTCTTGGAACTCTATGAATATGGAAAATGCCACGAATGGGCAAATGGCCATTGTTTTCTTTGAGATGCCCGAGTGGGACTGCTGCTCGTGGAACAGCCTCTTGGGTGCGATTGCAGAATCTGGGAGGATCAACGATGCAATCATGATATTTCAGAGAATCCCTTTCAAAGACACAACCTAATGATCACAGCAATTGGTTCTCGCGGCCATATCCGTGAGGCTCAAGCTCTCTTCGCCATGATGCCACAGAGAAACCCTGTCTTCTGGAGCACAATGATCAGAGCTTATGCACAGCAGGTATTGGCCATGGATGCAAAGATCATGTTTGATTCCATAGAGTCACACAACACAGTCACATGGAACTCACTCCCTGGCTGCCTACCTCGTGAGTGATTGAGTGGGCAATGCTAGAAAAGTGTTTGATTCCATGCCTGATCAAGATGCAGTATTGTAGACATCGATGATCTCCACCCATGCCATACGGGGCCAGATGTGCACTCTTCAATTCCATGCCGTGGTGTGTTGCGGCGGCATGGAATGCGATCATCTCTAGCTACATGAGGAGCAGCAATCTTGATGAGGCGCAGCTCCTCTTTGGTCTGATGCCCCATCACAACGCCCTGACGATCAATGCCATGGTCACAGCACTCGCATTTGGTGGCAGGATTGAGCAGGCCAAGCTCCTCTTTGATCGATTCACATCGCCCAACTCCGCAATCTCCATACTCGAGGACTGGGTGAGGCATACGCTCAGTCTAGGAGGATCAAGGAAGCCAGGGTGCTG